TCATCTGAGGTCAGGAGTTTGAGACCAGCCTGGCCAACATGGAGAAACCTTGCCTCTGTTAAAAACACAAAATTAGCCAGGCGTGGTGGGCACACCTGTAATCCCAGCTACTCAGGAGGCTGAGGCAGAAGAGTTGCTTAAACTGGGGGGGTGGAGGTTGCAGTGAGCCGAGATCGCACCATTGCACTCCAGCCTGGGCAACAAGAGCGAAACTCCGTCTCAAAAAAGGAAAAAATAAAAAAAATAAAATTCCCCAAGCTCCAGCAACTAATAAATGGGCTCTGCATCTAGCATATATCCAGTAACAGGAATAACTAAGGCTTTGCCAGCAGCTTTTGACAACTCTGAGAGAAAAGGAATTCTGGACTTGTGGGACTCCTCACTGAAGCCTTTCAAGAGCTTGCCACATACTTTGATTTCCCTGGGTTTCCAGTTGTAGCAGTCTAGCATCATCATCTGCAAGGAGCTGAGGCTCATACTTGATATCCTGAACCCTGGAGAGTCGAATATCAATCTCTTCTTTCAAGTCCTGTTCACATAAAGAAAAGAATACACAAGTATTTACCCTGCACTCTGCTTTCCACCAATCTGAAAATGGGGCAGAGTTAAAGAACAACTAGGACAACAGAAATACAGAAGATGCTCATGATGCTCATGTAGTTAATAAAATCACCAGATAAGAAGAATTTAAGAATGAATGTGATTGGGTTTTCCAATAACCTCTCCAAGCTGCATATCTCTAAGCTAGAACTTTTAACTTGCCAGAAATCCTTCAAGTTATACAGCATCAACATTATTTCTAATTTTTTTTTTTTTGAGACAGAGTCTCGCTCTGTCACCCAGGCTGGAGTGCAGTGGCGCAATCACAGTTCACTGCAACCTCCGCCTCCCAGGTTCAAGCTATTCTGTCTCAGCCTCCAGAGTAGCTGGGATTACAGGCGCGTACCATCATGTCTGGCTAATTTTTGTATACTTAGTAGAGATGGGGTTTCACCATGTTGGCCAGGCTGGTCTCAAACTCCTGACCTCAAGTAATCCGCCTGCCTTGGCCTCCCAAAGTGCTAGGAGTACAGGTGTGAGCAACTGTGCCTAGCCTCTCTTGCCTCAGCCTTCTGAGCAGCTAGGATTACAGGTATGCACCTACCTAGAGGCTACTTAAAAAAAACACACACACACATATTTAGCTTTTAAAATAGCCAAGTCAAATCCATGGTATAAAAATTTTAAAGATACTAAAAGGGGCCGGGCATGGTGGCTCACACCTGTAATCCCAGCATTTTGGGAGGCCAAGACGGGTGGATCACGAGATCAGGAGATAGAGATCACCCTGGCTAACATGGTAAAACCCGGTCTCTATTAAAAATTCAAAAAATTAGCCGGGCGTGGTGGCGGGGGCCTGTAGTCCCAGCTACTCGGGAGGCCAAGGCAGGAGAATGGTGTGAACCTGGAAGGCAGAGCTTGTGGTGAGCTGAAATCGCACTACTGCACTCCAGCCTGGGCAACAGAGCGAGACTCCGTCTCCAAAAAAAAAAAAAAAAAAGATGCCAAAGGTAGCACCTCTCAGTCACCCAGCAGCAATTACTATTTGCAGTTTCATATCGATCTCTCTTACCTAAGAGAGTTACCAGAGCCCCAGGAAATAAATTTTTTGTTGCAACTTTTTAGAAACTTCCATTGTGAAACATAAAACACACAAAATACAGATAACTTATATGTACATTTTAAATAATTATAAAAATCATAATGAACACCTATAACCAATATCCAATTTATGCAATGGAACATTATCACTAACTTTGAAGTCTTATGTGGCCATCCCTCAATGAATGCTCCCCATCCCAAACCTTGTCAATAGTCTTCATACACTTCTTCCGTTTTATCGTGTCACCCTAAAAAAGATGCTTAGCTTTGCCTGGTTTTGAACTTGATACAAATGGAAAAATACTTTAAGAATCCCTCTGCAAATTGTTTAAAAAATTTTTTTTTCTTTTGAGACAGGGTCACACTCTGTCACCCAGGCTGGAGTACAATGGCACAATCTCTGCTCACTGTAACTTCCTCCTCCCGAGTTCAGGTGATCCTCCTGCCTTAGCCTCCTGAGTAGCTGGGGTTACAGGTACACACCACCATGCATGGCTATTATTAAAAAAATTTTTTTTTCTGAGACGGAGTCTCGCTCTATCACTCAGACTAGAGTGCAGTGGCATGATCTTGGCTCACTGCAAACTCTGCCTGCCGGGTTCAAGCAATTCTCCTGCCTCAGCCTCCCTAGTAGCTGGGACTACAGGCACATGCTACCATGCCCGGCTACTTTTTTGTATTTCTCGTAGAGATGGGGTCTCACTATGCTCGTCAGGCTGGTCTCAAACTCCTGACCTTGTGATCTGCCCGCCTCAGCCTCCCAAACTGTTGGGATTACAGGCGTGAGACACTGCACCCGGCCCATTTTCAAACTTCTTACAGTGACAGGGTTTCCCCATATTGAACTCCTCAGCCAACATGATCAGCCTGCCTTGGCCTCCCAAAGTGCTAGGATTACAGGTGTAAGCCACCTCACCTGGCCTTATTATTATTATTTTTTTTGAGACAAGTCTCACTCTGTCATCCAGGCTGGAGTGCAATGGTGTGATCTCTGCTCACTGCAACCTCCGCCTGGGATCAAGTGATTCTCCTGCCTCAGCCTCCAGAGTAGCTGGGATTACAGGCACGCACCACCACGCCCAGCTTATTTTTTTGTATTTTTAGTAGAGTCGGGGTGTCACTGTGTTGGCCAGGCTGGTCTTGAACTCCTGACCTCAGGTAATCTACCCACCTCAGCCTCCCAAAGTGCTGGGATTACAGGCGTGAGCCACCGCGCCCAGCAAAATTTTAAAAATATACTTGAGGTTGAATTTACATATAATAAATGCATTCATTTTATGTATATAAACTGATGAGTTTGACAAATGAACATACCCCCTTCAACACCACGTCAATCAAAACAAAGAATATTTTCATCACTTGGAAATCTCCCCTGTCCCAGCCCAGGCAACATGTACTCTCTTTTTTTTTTTTTTTTTT